AGGGGTGGTGAGCCGCGGGTCATTTGGGAAGCCGAAATGGCAGGGCTGGAGGCTGAAGACCAGAAAGATGCCCTAGCTGACCCTCAGAGACTTCTGCCCTCAGCCCAGGACGATCGGGGGTGCTGACCGGACCAAGAGGCCCAGCCTTGCCTGGTCCCCAGGTACGGAGGGGGCGGTCAAGAGCAGAGCCGTGGCCGCATCGGCCCTCTCTCCTCCTGGAAGGCTGGGAAGGGAAGGCAGCTTCGTGCTGAAACACCGCGGTGTGGGGTGAGGGCCAGCCCAGCGCGCAGGACACTGGCCAAAGGCAACCAAAGGCCAAACACCCCCAAACTTCCCTCCTCTGAGGCAGAGGGAAAAACAAGGATGCTCGAGAAAAGACGGGAGGTTTCCTTCCAGGAATGAAGCTAAATTATTCTTTTTTTTTTTTTTTTTTGCTTTTTTGGGTCACACCCAGGGATGCTCAGGGGCTACTCCTGGTTCTGCACTCAGGAATCGCTCCTGGTGGTGCTCAGGGGGACCCTATGGGATACGGGGGATCGAACCCGGGTCGGCGGCGTGCAAGGCAGATGTCCTTCCCGCTGTGCTGCAGCCCCAAAGCTGGATTATTCAGCCAGAATGTGGGGTGTGTTGGGGGTGAGGAGAGAGGAGAAGAAAGAGATGGGGTGACGGTTCCCCAGACAGCCCACTGCCTTCTAGGGCCTTCCTGTCTGGGGAGAAACAGCTCAGCAGGATGAGGGTGAGCGGTGATGGTCACACGCACCCCCCCCACCACGTGGTCCTGATACGTGCCACGTCTCGGGGGCGCTGTGCACCCCCAAGAGGGTGGAAGTGAGTTTCGGCGGGTCTGCATTCGGTGAGTAAGAACGAAAGTCAAGGGGCTGGAGCGATAGCACAGCGGGGAGGGCGTTTGCCTTGCACGCGGCCAACCCGGGTTCAGTTCCCAGCATCCCATAGGGTCCCCTGAGCGCCGCCAGGAGTAACTCCTGAGTGCAGAGCCAGGAGGAACCCTTGTGCATCGCCAGGTGTGACCCCCCCCCAAAAAAAAATGAACAAAAGTCAAGCACGGCCGTTTGAAACGGGCCCGAAGCTCGCCCGGCTGGGCATCTCGTGTGACCCATCACCTTGTCAGCACGGAGAGGCGCTTGGCACCGCAAGAGAGTCAGTCACCTCCTGTGGGACTGGGAGTACCACGCGGCCCAGATGGCTCAGAACCGTTAAACTGGGGTTTGGGAGGGGGACCGAGGTGGGCTCTGGGGGCTTGGGACGCCACCCCCCCTCAAGCGCCGTGTCCCTGGGTCCTCTCTCTGGGTCCGGCCCCAGCTCAGCTGCTGCTCGGAATGCAGGCAGAAGGGACGGGCTTTCTTGTGGTTTGGGGACTTCTGACCCCGAAATGCAAGACTGCATTCCTTGGGCAACATCTGCTTTGCAGAATTTCAAAGAGATGGATGAGGCTTGCTGGGGCCGAGTCAGCTGGAAGGTGGCTTGGCCTATTTACAGCAGCCAGCGACGGCAAAGTGCTGCCCTGGGCTGAGGCCTGGGCAGGGAGGGGGCTCCGCCGGCCATCAGCGAGGAGCCAGCGGGAGTAGCTGGGCAAAGGCCCCCCCCTCTCCCCTACAAGCGGCTCCTCGCGGACTGGGGGGGTGGGGACAGGGACCCGCCACGACCTCGCCTCGGAGAAGTGCTTTGTCAACAGCAGCTTGTGCGAGCTTTGTGGGCAGGTCGGGTTTTCGGGACTTCCTGGCCCGCCTGTGAAGTACCCTCTGCTTAATTAGCAAAGCAGCGGCCGGGCGGGGACTGAGGACCCAGGCTGAGTCAGTCACGGCGGCTTCAAAGCCCGGCCCTGTGCCTACTTCCCGCGGAAGCAGGAGGCCAGCATGGAGGAAGCAGCAACATGCACGCAGAGTCTGCAGAGAGCCGGGAGGGTCCAGGGCGCCTTGGGCCACGGCGGGAAGAGGTCCACCCCTCACTCATGGCTCTGGGGCCTGGGGACCCTTTCCACAGAACCACCAGGCGGCGGGCACCCGGGAGTTAGGAGTTGGCATCCCTCCCACAGCCGGGGGGCATGGGGCGATGCTGACATTTAGCTATGCTTTGGGGCTGGGGGTCCTGGCAGGACTGGAGCCCCTAACAGGTGGATTTCAGGAGGAAACTGACCCGGCAGGGGGGGGCCTGAAAAGGAAGCAGAAATCCCCCCAGGATAGCCATGATCCTGTTCCAGATGCTTCCGGAAGCTTCCAGAAAGCCTCCGGGCAGAGGGTCAGGGGACCTGCCAACCAGAATTCTTGGAGATTCTTTGTCACACTCTTTGCCTTTGCCAAGCCGGGGATGGAGCCGCCTGCACGAAACGGAGTCTTAAGTGATGTGAACGAGAGCAGGGGTCCCGTCCCCGGCGCCAGGGCTGATGGTGACTCTGCCACACCCCACATGCCCTCCGTGGCCCGTGCGTCTCCGCCACCTGCCCCTGTCTCTGGCCCGCTGAGCCAGCACCCGGCCTGCCTGGTTCCTGTCTGAGTAAGAGACCCCAGACCCTGCCGGCCCGGGCCCCTCGTCCCCAGGGGCTGCCCAGAGCAATGAGCCTCCCGGAGCCCGCGTGGTAGCCAGGCCATCTGCGCCCGGCACAGGCCACCAACAGTGCCCTGAGAACCACCCGCCCCTCTGGGTGCGTCCTGGACTGGCCCTCGCACACGCGATCCCTGGGCTCCCCGTCTCCCGGGGTTGGTGGGGGACGGGGGGCAGGACACGCGGCCGGGTGGTCCCCGACAGCTCAGGCTGGAGTTTCAGAGCTCCTGAGCCAGTGGACCCCGGGCCCCCAAAAGAAGGTGAGGGAGAGCATGCCGGCCACCGCCCTCGGCTCTGCCCTCACGGCACAGGAACCCCCAAACCGATCTGGCCTAACACCCCCTTTTCAGAAATAAAAATTGATCCATGCCCCTGGGGCCGTCTCCCATCTTCAGGCAAAGAGAAAACGGGTCGACCCCGGACCCCTCAACTGTCCCCGCCGCACCCCCGGGCAGCACGGCCCATGCGGGGACCCTGTCCAGCGGGCAGTTTTTGCCCAGAAGCCACGTCCTACCGGGGTCAGAAGCCTGAGGAAGACCAGCTCCCCCCACCCCACCCCCCCGCCCCGTCCCTCCCGGCCGGAGCATGGAGCTCAGCCTCATCTGTTCTACAGGCAGGAAACTGAGGTAGGCCCACCCCAGACATGGTGAGGGCCGAGTGTGTACACCATGGACAGACTCCTGGAGCTGTGCACTGCAGTAGGGGGGCGACGGCGGGGTTTGCCCAACTTTCCAGAGATCCACTCTTGGGGAAAAAGGCTCTGATAAGTCCTGCAGAAACATGCTTTTGGGTTTTGTTTTGTTTCCTTCTGACTGGGCAACAGCAGCCTTTCTCCGTCTTTAACCCTCGAGCCCTCTGGCTGTGCGTGCATCGCCTCGGAGCCCACGGGACTGGGCCCGCCCAGGCTCCACGAGGAGCAGCAGGTCTGCTGTGCTCTGTGCTCAGTGCTCAAGCATCCCCAGGCATCTGCTGTGACTCTGCCGTGGCACTCGGAACCATGGCAACCTTGACCCTGCCCATACCCAGGGACTCACTCCCGGGGGTGGAGTCGCCCTCTGGGTTGCTCTCGCGTGAAGATGCCCAGGGCTTTGGTGGCCTGGGGTCACAGCCATGGCTGGCTACTTGGACACTGCAGGCAGGTGGGGAGAGGGGGGTGTCTTAGAGCCAGTTCTCAGAGCAGCCGCACGGGAGTCAACCAGGGCCGCCCGCCCGCCGGCTCTCTCTCCCTCCCTCCTTTACTTATTTATGGCCTCCCCCCCCCCCCCCCCCCCGCCCCTTACAGCTCCGATTACAGCCGGATTCGTTTTTATCTGCTAGACCCAGGCCCTGGGCACGGCTGGGCCCCGGCAGAGACGCACCCACACCTCCGCCTGGCCAGCGGCTGGACAACAACGGGCGGCACCGGGGATCCTCCGAGAACCACGCCGTGACCTGGCCCCGGCCCTCTTTGATTATTCAGGACTGGCCGGATCAATTATTAACGCCGCGGAGGCCGAGGTCAGAGGCTGTGTGAGCGGAGCGGACACAGTCAGACGGTCACCTGGGCCCGCAGGAAGCCGGGGACTCGCCCGGCCGTGCCCGGGCAGGCGCGGGGTCTGGGGTTCAGCGCCCACCTTAAAGCCGCTGCCTGCTGGCTCCGAGCCCTGCCCCCGCCCTGCCTTAGCTGGGGGCCAGGTGGGAACATTCCTAAATAATAATCGAGGTTCGGGCCCATCAGATGCCCAGTGTTGCTCCCCCTCTCCCTGCCTGGACGTCCCCCCGGGTCCCTGAGCGGGCGGCACTGCCCTCGCTGCCTTGGGCTACACCTGGCAGGTGTCAGGTTCTGTTGTCAGACCACTTCCTGCCCCAGCCGAGGGCCCAGGGCCGGCCTGACCAAGTGTCCGGCTGGGCCCTGCCACCCACCCGGGCACCTACAGCCTCACGCGGAGCCGCCCACATGCCCTTTCCTGCCCCCCACCAGGCCCCGCTGCGGGGCTGGGCACAACGGAAGGCCACTGTTCCCCGCGTCAATGTGCCCCTCTGTTCCCTGACCATCCCCCCTGCGCCCCCTGGCCTCAAGGCCATGCATTCCCGCTGCTTCTCGTTTCCTCTGCTGGCTGGAAATGTGGCAGATGGACATGGTTGGGCGGCTCAGTGGACCCCAACCACCCCGTGGACACTCCTCTGGGCCACAACTGTCATTTCTGCTGGGATGGCTGAAGGGAATGGGGGAGCCTCTAGAACTCTCACCCCCCACCCCTCAAAACCACTACCAGGAGACCCCCGCCCCCGCAGAGACGGGGCGCCCGTCCGAGTCCCCAAAGCTGATATGGGGGGACACTTGGAGGTCCTCTCTCTCACAGGGTGGCCGCTGCCCAGGCCAGACGGGGGCATGAGGGGGCCGGGGGGGAGTTTCGGGGACACCCCCGCCCCCAGGGTGAGGACAAAGGGGAGCGGCTCACCGTCATCCAAGTAGGTCTGGTCCAAGTTCTGTTCCTGCTTAATGGTCACCCCCGCGGGCAACGCTTCCTTTTGGTCACTGACCGGGGGTCCGTTTTTGGCGGCCCGGGGGCTGGCGGCATTCTGCTGCTGAATGACCGTGGGGTACGAGCCGGGGCTCAGTCTCTGACCTGGGGGGACAGAGGGGGGCGGGCCAGGCCGGGCGCCGCCGCCGGGCCCGAAGTTCTCGCAGTACATGATGTGCTGGAACTCCGGGGCACCACAGCGCAGCTGCTGGGGCGTGGGCGAGTAGTGGATCACAGGCGAGGCCTGGGGGGTGGCGGCGGCCGGGCCGGGGCCCTGGGCACCCGCGTGTACCAGCACGGAGCGGTGGGCGTCCCCCAGGGGCAGGGGTGCGGCCATGAGGGCCGGCTGCTGGTAGCCCAGGAGGGTGGGGCTCAGGCTCCGGCTTCGCTGGTACAGGACGGCCGCCGGCGCCTGCGGCTGGTAGCGGGTGTCCGGCGGGGACAGCCCTGGGCGGAACTGCTGGCAGGGCGCCATGGTGGCCACCAGGCAGGACGGGGACTCGGCCACCATGGGGTGCTGTGCGTAGTAGGGCTGGCTCCCCAAGGCCCCGTGCGCCGGGCTGCAGATCAGGGCGGGGTCGTACTCGTCGCTGGGCTCCGTCTTGATGGCGGGCACTGCAGGGACAGAAAGGCCAGTTGGGGTGCAGGCAGGGCCGGAGGGTGAGCGGGAGGGGCTGGCAACGTCTACAGAGTGGGGAGTGTGGTGGGGGGCGCTGGCTCAGATCCACCCAGGCATAACACTCTGGGTCAGAAATCTGAGCCTGGGACGGAGCGATAGCACAGCAGGGAGGGCGTTTGCCTTGTACGCAACCGACCCGGGTTCGGTCCCCAGCATCCCATAGGGTCCCCTGAGCACCGCCAGGATTAATTCCTGAGTGCAGAGCCAGAAGTAAGCCCTGAGCAGCTCTGGGTGTGACCCCAAAAAGCAAAATAAATAAATAAGTAAAGGTAAAGGTAAAGGCCCTCCCGTTGTTCGTCGATTTGCTCGAGCGGGCCCAGTACCGTCTCCATTGGAGACCTTGTTGTTACTGTGTCTGGCATATCGAATACTCTCGGTTGCTTGCCGGGCTCTCCGAGAGGGGCGGAGGAATCGAACTCGGGTCGGCCATGTTGGCTGCATGCAAGGCAAACGCCCTACCGCTGTGCTATCGCTCCAAATAAGTAAATAAATAAAAAGAAGTCTGAGCTGGGCAGGCGACTGCGACCTCCATGTTCCTCCCCGGCATAATCATGTCTGTTCAAGCTCCGTCCCCAGAGGGCCCCAATCTCAGATGATGCCCGGGGCTGGAGCACCTGCTTCCCAGGCCTCAGGTCCTGGGTTCAATGCCTGGATTGACAAGCCTGAAGGGGATCCAGCCCGGCTCCCTCTCCGGCACCCAGCGACCCCACGGTGACCCACCCTCGCCTGCCGCCATCTGCCCACCTGCCTGCCGTCTCTCTGGGCTCATGTGGGACCTGATTTACTCACAGCTGTGCAGTGCCGACCCCCAGCCTAGAAAGAGCCCTCGGGGGAGGGGGGCTACTTCCTGCTCAGGGCTGAGCCTGGTACCCACCATGCCCCGCACCTTAGCACCTAAGTTCTGCTCGATTTTTCTGGACAAACAATTGGTCACATGGCGAGCGTCACCTTGTGAGACCTGTGACCTGGGCCTGCTTCCCCGTGGGTCACCTAGGGCCCACTCTCAGGCCTCCCCCTCTGCCCCCGCCACTCCGGACCGCAATTCCAACTTCTCCAACATGGTTCACCCCAACGCCCCAGCCCCAGGGAGCTGAGGAACTGGGCCCTTCACTCGGCTGGAATAAATGAGTTGGTGACAGGACTGGGTTGGGGGCTGCCCCCCACGCTGGGAGCTCCAGGGCGGGAGAGCCGCCTCACAGCGACAGATCTGACAGGTCTGCAAGGCCCTAGGCTCAGGCCACGGGGGGGTTGGGGGGGGTAGCAGGCCAGCGCCCAGGGCACCCCTGAGAAGAGGGCATGGGTGAGACTGGCCGAGGCAGAGAGGCTTGTTGGACACTGATCGGAGCCTCCCAGAGACGCCCCACAAAGCTCTGGTGCCTTTAGGACACGACCACCTCAGCTGTCCCCTAGGCCTGAGACAGTGTTACAACACACGCACACACACACACATGCACACACATGCACACACACATGCACACATGTGCACACACACTCACAAACACATATGTACATATACACACACGTGCGCACGCACACACATGCACACGCGCGCGCACATGTACGCACGCAAACATGCACATGCATGCACACACATACAGACATATGTGCTCACACACACGCACACATACATACATGTGCATATGCACACGCACGCTCACAAACACACGCACACATACATGTGCATATGCACACAGGTGCACACACGCATGCACACATGCTCACATGCACGCACACATGTACACACATATGTGCGCAGACATATGTTCGCACGCACACACACGCACACATACATACATGTGCATATGCACACATGCACACGCATGCACATGTGCACAACACACATGCATACACACATGGGCACGCACACACAGTGACCCTCCAGCTGTCACCTCAGGCCTGAGACTGCTGTCACTGACACACACATGCACACACACACACACACACACACATGTGCGCGCACACACACACGCACACACTGTGACCCTCTAGCTGTCACCTCAGGCCTGAGACTGCTGTCACAGACACACACACACGCACGCACGCACACACACTCACATGTGTGCACACACACACGCACACACAGTGACCCTTTAGCTGTCACCTCAGGCCTGAGACCGCTGTCACAGACACGCACACGCACACGCACACACACACACTCACATGCGTGCACGCACACACACACAGTGACCCTTTAGCTGTCATCTCAGGCCTGAGACTGCTGCCACAGACACGCACACGCACACGCACACACACACACACACACACACACGCGCGCGCGCACACACAGTGTGGCCTGCTGTCTGCCCATCCCCACCTGCAGACACAGGAGCAGTGACAGGAGCCGGCGCGCTCAGCAGCCCAGTGTCGGCTCACTGGCGCCCACGTGGGCTCCGGGCCAGACGCAGCCAAGGCTGAGTGCGTCTGCGACCCCAGGCTGCGACCCGCACCCCGCCCCAGGCGCCCGGGCCGAGCTCCTACCTGGGTGGTAGGTGAAGTGCTGGGGCTGGCTTCGTTTCCTCTTCCCGTTGATGACGTAGAAGCTCACCTTCACCGACGTGTGGATGTGCTTGTTCCGGTACTCGGGGATCTCCACGAAAAGCATGTTCTGGAAGGAAGGCACGGCCCATCACGGGGCAGCCCTGCCACACGCCTCCCCAACGCCCCGGACGCGTGCTCGGAGACGGGCCTGGCGCTGCCCGCGCAGTGAGGCCCGGCCCCCGCTGACCTGGCTCCCAGGGGACGGGGTGAGGGCAGGAGGAGGGGACGGAGGGGACGCAGCCCTCCTGCGAGTGCTTACGGGCTGGCTCTTGTCTTTGTCCACCGTGGCCTCCACCTCCCAGATCTGCTGCCCATCTGGAAAAACCAAGAAGCGACATTTCAGCGGCACGAGGAACTAGCCGTGTTAGAACTCAGAGGTCCAAGGCAAACACCTGCATCAGGGACTGCTCCTGCTTAATGCACTGCTCCTGCTTTGTGCACACGTGTGTATGGATGTGCATGTGTACACACGTGTGTACTTGCGTTTGCTCGCGTGTGTGCACGTGTGTACATGTGTGTATATGTGCATGTGTGTGAGATGTGCGAGTATGTGTCCGTGTGTCTTCACAGCTTTTCCAAAGGGAATGCAAGTTAACAATGGAAAACTGACAGCAACGGAAAATAGAGAACAAAGCAGAAACGGCCCGTCTTGGGGTGGGAGCGGTCGTGCTGCATTTACCGCGCGTGCAGCCGACCCGGGTTCGATCCTCGCCTCCCCATGTGGTCGCCCAGGCACCGCCCAAAGTGATCCCTGAGCCTAGAGCCAGGAGTTAGTCCTGCACACAACTGGGTGTGGCCCCAGTAAATTTTTTTATTGTAAAAACATAAAAAAAAAAAGGCGCGTCCCCTCCCTGCTGTGGCCCACGGCGCTGCACAATGGCTTCCACCAGGGGCGGCTCCCCAGGGTCCCCAGCGCGGCTCTTGGGCAGTCCTGACGGTCTGAGAAGATGGGGAGGGCCTCATCCAGCCAGACTCTCTCCGCCGGGTCCTGGTGGAGCAGAGGTGCCCCTACATCCCTAACGCCCGCGGCAGCCTGGGGGACCCAGGGCACTGCTGATGACAGTTTCTTGTTTGGCAACAAAACCTCCTTCCCCAGCACAGTGCCGGGGTTCCCGGCGGGGCCACCCAGCACGTCAGATATAACCCTGCTTTTGTGCCATCGCCAACTAGCGCACAGACCACAGAGCCATTTGCAGGAGAAACACCATTTTCTAGAGGGTTCCCGGGGAGAATGGGCTCATGGGGAAAGGCAGAATGCTGCAGGGATCAGGTCCTTGGGAATGCGGACCCAGAGTTCCAAGGGCTTTTTTTTTAGTTTTGGGGGTCACACCTGGGGATGCTCAGGGCTTACACCTGGCTCTGCACTCAGGAATGACTCCTGGAGATACCCGGGGACCCTCTGGGATGCAGGGGTGGAACCAGCTCGGCTGCATGCAGGGCGAGCGCCCTCCCTGCCATCCCGTCCTATCGCGTTGGGAGTGGACAGGTGGCTCTGAGCGCGTGAGTGGCCCCCATCGAAGGGTGGGGAGCACCTCCTATCCTTCTCGGTGTGGCGCCCACAGCCCAGAGGAGGGCCCCAGAGGGCTGGGGGAGGGCTCATGGCGGGGACAGTGAAGGCGCCTGAAGACACCTCACAGAGGAGGAGGGTGAAGGAGTCTCACAGACGGAACCCAACGGCCACAGAGAAAGTTCTAGAAGGGTCCAAGGGTCACCCCCCGGACATTCCAAGCCCCCCAAGAAGGCACAGGAATAGCCAGAAGGCTGCTCAGGAGACCCCGGGAAGAAAGACCCAAGGTCAACCTCGGTGGAGCGGGAAGTGGGGAGCTCTCGGCCATCACAGTCCGGGGGCCTCTGCATTCGCCCACCTCTACTCGAACCCACAGCCAGCGCAGCCTGGTGCTCGCCCCCTGGGGCCACCCTGGCGAGACTCCGGCCTGGAGGCCTAAGCGGGCTCGACCTCTCTGGAGCTCAGACCAAAAAATGAGGAAGTTCTTCGGGCGCAGAGACGCTGCAACCAGGCCTCAGACACGGGGCAGATGTAGAATGAGTCGCTGGAGCCCAGCCTGTCTCTGTGGTTACCAGCGATCTGGCTTGAGGCATGGTGGGGGGGGGAGTCCCCCGGCTCTGCTTCGGGAGGAAGGACCGGCAGCAACTGGCCCGCGGCTGCTCGGCAGGGAACCACATTTCCTCCTGTCCTGCCACCGCCAAGGAACCCAACGGCCACAGAGAAAGTTCTAGAAGGGGGCGGGCCGGACTCACTTTCAGCCACCCACCCACCATCCACCCACCCTTGGCCAGGACGAGCTTTGGGGAACGGAGACCTCTGGCATCCGTTTCTTTCCCGGACACAGGACGGGGCCCGTGAAAAGCAGAAGTGCCGCCAGCTCCCTTGGGAGGCCGGAGAGCGCCCTGGGGGGCCCTCGCCCTGGGTCCCCCCCCACAGATAGGCCACCCCCCGCACGCCCCAGGCCGCCCAGACCTCCCCTGGCTCCCAGAAGCTCGGCGCAGTGCTGGCCAAGTTCACTGGACTTCTTCAGGGACTCTGAAAGTGACACTTTCCCACAAGGACGGGCGTCTGCGGCCTGGCTGGGGCACCTCTGGGCGGGCCCAGCCTCAGGCACTGAAGGAGCCCCGGCGGGCCGTGACACGACCCACCCCAGGGCCCCTCCTGCCCTCCAAGCCCCCCAAGACACAGCGTCTGTGGTGGTTCCTGACCTCGAGAGCGCCCCCACCCCGCAAGAGACCTGAGCGTCCCCGAGGGCCTGACCCCCAGCCTCTCGGGCAGAACCCCCGAAGTCACCACGGCTTGATGGAGGCGGCGTGGGGGGTACCAGCAGCAGGAGGTGGGCTGAGGCTGCAGGGAAGGGAGCTCACAGGGCGCCTCAGTTAGCATCTCTGCAGCCCACCCCCTCGAGCGGGGCCCCAAAGAGCCCCCCAAAAGCCCGGCAGCCTCTCCCGGCCTGGCCACGGGGAGCGAGGGAGGGAGGCAGGGAGGCCTGGACCCTCCTCAGAGGAGGAACAGCGAGAGCCCGGGGAAGACGAAGGGAGGTGGGGGCAGGGCCGGCAGCGGGGGAAGATGAGAAGGACCCGCGGGGCCCCAGGCTCTCCCGTGGGCAGCCGTGCCCCCCACCCCCACGGAAGCCGGCTTTGCAGGTGACAGACCAGGGCTCTGCACCCAGGGTCGCGTGCACCAGCCGTGTGCCCATGGGCCGCCCGCAGCCCCCCGGGGGGAGGCTGGGACTGTCACTGTCCATTAGGAGCCCATGTGTGACGGGGCCCAGGGCCCAGCCGGGAGCTGTGGACAGGCATGAGCTCAGTGCTCCCGGCTGAAGTCATTCCAGTCTGCAGGGGGTGGGGGTGGGGAGTGTGCGGGGGGGGGGGTCCCTCCGTGTCCGATGCCCAAATGCGCATGGCCGCAGCCCTGGACAGGGGGCGCCTGCCCCTCCCAGCCCTCCCCGAGGGCTCGGTCCCATCGCTGCCTCGGTGGGCTCCACCTCCGCCCCCCCCCACACCCCCGGAACTGCCGGCTGCTCCCCCCGCCCCACGAGGCCGCCCCGTCCAGATGAGGAGCCCAGACCCCAGAATAGAAAGCGAATCCCGCCACGCCCTGTCTAAAAGCCTGGCCGGCCACCCGGCCCACGACTCATCCCCTGGACCAGGAGGCAAACTCCTCACTGCCATGGGCACTGAGCCCTGCCGCCCCGCCAGGCACAGCATCTGCTTTCGGTTCCTCACTCGCCCTCCTCGCTCAGGCCGGCCGGGGCGGTCAGTTCCTTCCGCCTGGGGGACATTCCTCTTCGGGCCCAGGCAGTTTCCCATCTCCTGTCTTTAGTTTAGAGCTCCATCCAAAGCTGCCACCTCCGGGAAGCCCTCCCTGATCTCTCTCTCTTTCTCTCTCTCTCTCTCTCTCTCTCTCTCTCTCTCTCTCTCTTTCTCTCTCTCCCCTCCCTCTTCCTCCAACCCCTATCTCTGTCTCTCTCTTTGCTTCTCTCTGTTTCTGTCTCTGTCTCTCTCTCTTTCTCTCTCTCTTCTTCCTTCACTCCCTCCCTCTCTCTCTCTCCCTCCAACCCCCTCTCTTGTCTCTCTCTCTTCACTTCTCTCTGTTTCTGTCTCTCTAAGTCTCTCTCTCTCTCTCTCTCTCTCTCTCGTTTAGAGCTCAGTCCAAAGCTACCACTTCCAGGAAGCCCTCCCTGAAATCTCTCTCTCCCCACTCCCTCCACCCCCCTCTCTGTCTGTCTGTCTGTCTGTCTCTCTCATTGCCAGATTGAACCAAACATCATCCACGTAGATGAAACTTCAAGAAGAAACTGCATTCGACTTCAAGCAGGTCTCACTCTCTGTGTCCATGTGCAGGTCCTGTTCCAATCCGGATTCCGAGAGCCTATGGCATCGCCATATCCAGCCCCAGGCCCGGGGCTCTCCCTGCCTGCCGCCCCGTGCCCGCAGCCTGCGATTCCTCAGCCAGGAGCTGGTCCTGCCCTCCGGCCCAGCACAAGTCTGGGGCTATTAGAAGGGAGGGGGATTAAGCCCAGGGTCCGAGCCCTGGGATGTTGACGGGGCCTCCTCGGCCACCCGGCTGGGGCTTTGCTCCGTGATGACACTCACGGCTCCTGTCCCCCTGGGAACAGGAAATGGGGGCGAGACTCGGCCCTAAAGGGGAGCTCAGACTCCCAGAGAGGAAGCTGGTCTGTGTGATAGCATCCGCACCTGTGACAGGTGGCAGGGGACAGGGGACCGGTGGACTGTCCAGGGTGGACTGGCACATCCCACCTGCCTGCTCTGGGTGCCTCACTTAGGGCCTCCCACCTGGATCGCCGAAATAGTGAGTAACCCGGTAAAACCCAGAGGGCGTTTGCCTCACACGTGACCAACCCGGGTTTGATCCCTGGCGCCCCACAGGGTCCCCCAAGCACCGCCAGGAGTGATCCCTAAGTGCAGAGCCAGGAGTCCCTGGGTGTGACCCCACTGCTGGGTGTGACCCCAAAAAAACCCCAAATTAAAAACGAAAAAATAAAATCACGCCCACCCCATTTTACAGCCAGAGAAACTGAACCCCAAGTCCCTAGGAGAAGGCCGGCCTGGGCTTCCGGCCATCTGCCAGCCTGGCTCACAGCACGAATCAAGCCTTACAAAACACTAAACATTGAGGGAGAAAATCCTCCCGGAGGGGTGAGGGTCTGTCGAAGGTGCAGCAGGCCGGTCTCTCTGGGTCTGCTTCCGAGACCCCCGACGGGCAGGCGCAGGGAGGCCCCCCGCCCCACGCTGGGCTCTCTGCAGAGACTCAGGGCGATGCCAGGGGCAGCAAGTCTTTGTAG